TGCTGGAGAGAGCCTGCAGCAGCTGAGCCAGAGTGCGGGGTCGGCGTGTTCCCCTGCACTTCCTGGGCAAGGCTGATGTCCCTTTCCAGCCTGCTGAGCGAAGCCCCTGTGGCCCTGCCCTTCCCTCTCTCACATCTCGCTGCTGCACCTTGGTCTCTGGTGCCGGTTCTTGTTTGAGGGAGGCCAAAAGCACAGCCAGACCTCTTCAGGGCTGTGCAGCGGGCACCCACTCCATCCTTCTCTGCGGCAGCGGGCCCCTCCTCTCCCTTGCACGGAAAACCACCTTCCCCTCATCTCCCCTCGCTGCCAGGCGGTGGACGAGCTGCAGGCTTCCCCCACCCTCCATGGCAGGAGGGTGGCTGGGTTTTGCTCTTCATCCCTCCCCGGAGGTTGGTGACTGGGGTTCAAGGTTGGGGTGAGGCTTGCGAGCTCCCCTGGCCCTGCAGTGCCACGTGTCCTCCCTGTGTGTGCTGGGCCCCGGCCCAGCTGTGGTGGGGATCGGGGACGGGGGTGCCTGCAGGTGCTCTCTGCTGTCGGCAGCAGGGTCAGGCACCGGAGCGGGCAGCTGGCTTCACGGGGCAGCCAGGTTTGGGGGTGAAGCCCTGGGAGGGCAGAGCCAGCGCGGGCAGGCACTCAGGGACTCGTCCCCCCCGGGAGGCAGCCCCGTTGCTGTGCCTTGCCCGGGGCTGAGCTGGAGCAGAGTGAGCTTCCTCTGCCTGGTGGTCAGTGGGACGCTGAGATGGGGCTTGTGTGCTCCTGTGCCCTCCCCCCTCCTTGGAAGGAACAGCACTGTTGTCCTTCCCCTGGGAAGGGTCCCGAGTCCTGGTTCTTCCCCCTGCTGCCACAGACTACTGTCCCAGGCAGCCTCGGGCTGGGTGTTGATGGTGGTGCTGGTGGTGGAGCTGCTCTGACGGTTTCTCCCTGTCCCCTTCCAGCTGCCCTACACGGAGCTGGAGAAGGTGAGTGGCATCGAGGAGGCCAAGCACTACCTGCGGCAGAAGCTGAGGGAGCTGCGCTTCTGAGGGATGGATGCCTCGAGTCCCGGGCTCTGGGCGGGGAGGGGGCAGAGCGGGGTGGGCACAGGTGGGTGCTGCCAGCCCCTTTCCCCTGGGGGTGGGACACGGAGCTGCCACCTGTCCCAGGGGGGCATGGGGCTGGGCCATGGGCACCTGCTCCTCGATGTGGGGCTGGGGTAGTGTGAGATATTTATTGCCGTTAGCGGGGGGAAGGGGTATGACTTGACTGGTGCATAGGGGAGTATTTGGGTCTCTGCTGCTGGGGGGGCGGG